TGTCTCCTGCCCCACCCCCTGGTCAGATTGCTGGCAGCTGGGGTTGGATAGTGACCTGTGTCTCCTGCCATGGACGGTGATTACCTGACATAAAGATGGGGAGGGATGGGATGAGCCGTGCACATTTAAGCTGGAAGGTGGTCCTGAGTTGTTGTTTGTAACTAACACAGGTCTCTATTTCTTTATATGATTGAAATCCTCATTGCCATTCCATATAGTGTGTCGATGGGAACCAACTCTCCCCCGTAGGAGAATCCAAGGTACGTGAGCTGCATGTCCCTATAACACATTTGTGGTTGCATTGTTTGCTACAGTGTTTTCATTTAGCAAGTTACAGCTTTTGTAACCTGAAAATCTGTTAACTATAAGGGCTAAGAGGGTAAGAGAAAAGACAAAACTTCCTATCCTATTTCCTTTGTATGTGCACCGAGCTGTATCATGTGCTTTCACCACCATTATCTGTGCGATAGGATTTCTTATTATCTCCTCCATTTCATAGGCTTACAGAAATTCATCTTTAACCAGGCAACATAGATCTGATTGCTGAGAAGGGAGATGTGATCTCAGCACACAATTTAGAGGAGCGTGACAGCTCTCATTCTTTCTGTGCTGATATGTCATTGTTAAAAAAACACAAGAATACGCTCAGCTACCGGTGCAAGGATCTTTCTTCAGCATCCCCTAACGTTGGTGTCTGGCCCTTGCTTTCTGTGACTGACAGACAGCTCATTGCACTGTTAGACACCCCGTAATCTTTTCCAGCTCTGCCTGTTAGTTACATCTTCTGGGCCTCCCTAGAATGTGCATCACTGATCCCAGATTCCCCCTAGAGCCCACGGAATAAATCATTCCTCCCCTGCTCCTGACAGCTCTAGAATTTAAGCCCCTCAGGCTGTCTCTGAATTAAACATCCTTTTCTCATGTATACATGAAAGGTCTCACAGACCTTTCATGTTGCTGTTCAGATCGGCTCTGGTTTTTCAGTGTATCCTCTGACTGTGCCCTGGACCACACTTGAGCGTGATAGTCCTGATAGG